GATCCGAGAAAAATGGCACTATCGGAGCCGATACCCGATATGAATATCGGATCGGCGCATCCCTAGTTTGGAGTAAAAATATGTTATTAAATGTGGTATTTTCACATCATCACGTGCTTTCAGATGGAGTAGCATTTACGGCTCTGTATAGTAAATGCTGCTCCATCTGAAGGCACGTGAAAATACCACATTTAATAACATGTTTTTACTCCAAACTCACTTCATAACGTCAGTCGAGTGTTTGAAATAAATCCTTCTGTGAGATGATGTGGCTTCTTACAAAGAATAAGGCACACAACATATTCTAGTTTGGAGTAAAAATATGTTATTAAATGTGGTATTTTCACATCATCACGTGCTTTCAGATGGAGTAGCATTTACGGCTCTGTATAGTAAATGCTGCTCCATCTGAAAGCACGTGATGATGATTTACTGCTGATTACAGAACCGGCTTTACTAACAAAATGCGCATGACAATCGCATTCGATTAATCGTGCAGCCCAAGGGTGCCATGTTGGCCTCTAAGAAACTACCTCTTGAGGGAGGCTTGCAATTATTATTCATTATTTAACTTTGTAACACAAAGCTAGGGGTCTGAATACTTTTGCAAGGCACTGTATTTTGTTCTATTTTAATGCCTGTTTCCGATCCAAAGATTTCATCTATGGGTGGAATCTGTATCATTCAAACCTTAACTAATTAGTTCACACTTAAAAGAATAGTTCACCCAAAAATGTCATAATTTACTCACCCTCATGTTGATCCAAATCTGTATGACTTCTGGATTCAGAAAACCATGAGGGTGAGTAAATGATGACAGAATATGTGGGTGAACTATCCCTTTAAGGACGGGAAGTGTTTTTAGGGAATTTTGAAAGATTGTGACAGTGTGATTTTTTTTTTTACATTTTCATTGAAACCAATATAAAACACAATAATTCATGTCGTACAACATTTTTTACTTTTTACATTAAGTTTTTGTTTGTTTGTTTCTAAAGAAAAACAGACTGCAAAATTACTCAATTTGCACCCAAAATTACTCACATCCTTATACAGCACAGGGGCAAAAATGTCTTGAAGACCAAAAGTTCATACATTATATATAGCTTAATTATATTAGCATTATTATTTTGAAATCAAACTGCTCCATCAAAATACACATACACAAAAAAAACCTTAACACACATAAACAAAAGCTTAATGCTTACTGTTTTCATGGTCACCGTCTCCTTCTGGGATGCCCACATACACCATTACGTTGACTGCATCGGATACATCCAGATGCAGGTTAGTGGTGCCAACCTTCCTGTCTTCTGTGGAGATCAGACCTGGGAGGGACAAGGCAAAGGGCAGAGGTTAAAGAGCTGTCAGTGTATTCCTCATAAGCAGTGGCGAGGATGTTGCATGTAGATCCCTTACCATAAGCATTGTACATTTTAGGACCCAGATCTGGCCGAACGAAGAAGTTTGGAAGACGAGAGGCCAAGTTGAGCCGGCCATCTCTCTTTGTGTACTCTGGCAGAGGAAGGTTCTCCATGAGATCATCAAACCTGCAAACGGGGACATAAGTAATCTAATTCATAAACATTTCAACACACTGGCTGCTTCCAAGCCAAGATCCCATAGCTAGTGGTCGACCGATATGTTGCCAAGGCTGATATATAGACCGATATTTGGCACTTTTTAATTATCAGTATCGGACAATAACTGTTTTTCTGTTTGGCCGATATGTCAGAAGTGGAAACTTTTAACTTGTCAGCAAGCAGGACTTTTATTTTGACAACGCTGAGTGCACAGAGCTCCCATTGTCCGTCTTCATTAGTTTACGGTCACTGTGTAACAGTTCTAATAAACTATTACGCAGAGCTTTTAAACAAAATTAGTTAAGAGCATATGAAAAGTATTATAGCATTTGCTTTTCTATTACTAGTAATAAAGGCAAACAGTGTAATGTTTTCTCATCTACCAACAACATTCAGCAAATATGCATTTCATTTAAACAAGTCTGAATATCTAATAAACATTTAATTTCACTAACCTTGCTGTGCTTTGCTGCTATGTCGTATTCATGTCATATTCATTGTGTGATGTATGTAATATTTGCTCTAACTAGTGTTGCATGATATACCGGAACTAAAAAAAGTATCGCAATCAGCGTTGGGGAAAGATACTTCAATCAGTTACTGCAATCACAAAATTGCACTACTCCATAAAAAAGTAACAAATTATGTTACTTAGTTACTTTTTCTGAAAAGTAATGCATTATGTTACTTTTGCGTTACTTTTTGTCACCTGGGCTGGGCTTGCTTATTTGTTTTTCAATAACAAAATACACAAAAGTAATATTTTTGTCAACTGCAAGGGCCCTTTCACACCAAAAGTGAAATGAATAAGCCGCAGGCTGAAGGAAGTGGCTCTGCACCTCACTCCCAATTTCTGTCAACGGGGATAGGAGAGCTGTCAGTCAATAAATGGGAAAACAAAGTAAAGTAATCATGATATACATTGTTATTGTGAAATAAAATGACTCGTATCGTGAAATTAGATTTTGGTCATATTTCCCACCCCTAAGTCAAATGAGTGCGATTTATTTTGTAACACGTGAACTTGTAACAAATACTCTTCCTGTTGTGTTATATTTTGGTCATGGTATCGGTTCAGTAGTAGTATCGAGATACTTTAGTCAGGTATCATATCGAAGTCAAAATTTTGGTATTGTGACAACACTAGCACTAACTTGCAGAAGCTTACCATATTACTGACTGTAATCTGGTTGCAGCGTTTCTTTATTTGAGAAAAATACTATAACAGAGTTACAGAAAGAAGTTGACATCTAAATACATTTCTTTACAGATGTATTTTTTTTTATCAAGTTACATTTTTTCATTTTCATAAATATTATGTAAATATATATGTATACAAATTTAATTTCAGCAATTGTTATATATGTGTTTCTACTATCTTTAAATTAAACAGTGTAATATGATATTTATCTATATATATTGGCTTTTTACCGCCCAACGGTCACCATGCTCTCCAAGATATCGGCATCAGCAATCAAAAAATTCATATCGGTCGACCAACAGCTATGGCACGAAATAACATGCCAGCAAACCTACCGAGTGGGCATCATGTCTCTGAAATCTTCTCCAGGAGGCCAGTCTTTAAGTTTTAGTACCATAGGTTGGCCATCTCCACCCTGCAAACGCTCTAGAGAACAGAGGAGAAGATAATAGACCACCAGGTCAAAGTGGTTTCATGGTCAGCTGGATATGGTGATAATTAAAGGGTTAGTTCACCCAAAAATGAAAATTGGCTTGTGTTTTACTCACCCTCGAAGCATCCTAGGTGTATATGACTTTCTTCTTTCAGACGAATCCAGTCGGAGTTATATTAAAAATTGTCCTGGCTATTCCAAGCTCTATCATTGCAGTCAGCGGGTGTTGCAGTTGAACAGTCCACAAGTCGTCAAATACAGCGCACGCATTCATAATAAAACGTGCCGCAGACGGCTCCGGGGGGGTGAATAAAGGCCTTCTGTAGTGAATCCATGCGTTTTGGTACGAAAAATATCCATATTTCAAACGTAATAAACACTTTTCTCTCACTTCCGTTATCTGTCATAGGCAGAAGGCGTTCTGGTGGAAGGCGTATGAGATATGCTAGTCTTGCGAGTTTGTTTATAGGAGCAAAGGAAGCAAAGTTTCCTTACTTTAGCAAAGGAAAACCAGTCTCCTCTTGGCTTATATCGAAATCCTCAGACATTTTTCTTTGCAAATCTTCAGTTTGTACTTCTAATTCATGACCGGCATTTTGTTTTGTGTTGTTGTCTCTCCGTATTCGTCACTAATCACGCAATGCCGACGTGCTACGTCATCCGCCGGCACGGCTTCCACGTATGACAGTTGGCGGAAGATATATAAAAGTGTTTATTACGTTTGAAATATGGATATTTTTCTTACAAAAACACATGGATTCACTACAGAAGGCCTTTGTTCACCCCCCCCCGGAGCAAGGGGAGGCACTTTTT